GAGTGAGTATGAACCATGTAGCCCTGCAGGTATTTTGAGGTGAAATTCATTTTAAGACACTTTGTACATAAGAAGTATTGTTTATAAAGTGTTTTTCAGGACTATGTAAAATATGATTCTGATAGCATATTGTAAACATAAATTCCGAACCAATATGAAGTTCTTAATATACTGCAAATTACCTTCCTTCAGTGGTTTTCCAATTTAAATTAACTTATGACCAGTCACCACATTGTTCAGGTCCTGATTACAAATCCATATAGAAAGAAAATGGAGTAGACTCTTCTTTCTTCAGATTTTAATTTAAAACAATTTATCTAGCACTGCAGAAAGTTAAAGATTTGAGAAGTTTGATAGATCCATTTGAATTGTTTATAAAAACGTTCCCATGGATTGTGCATTTGGGGACTGCCCAGTGGTGCCTTTCTCTGTGTGTAGGACTTGGGACGTCTTGTTGTATGGACATGGCCATTATATCAGTTGTGTTACTTTCCCTCCCTTCACCAGTGTTTTATTTTGTATTTATGTATTATGAATATTAACCACAAGCAGAAGGTTGCATTATTAAATGACATATGTGGCAAAACTATACCTTTTATTACTATTGATATTATAAAGAATTTACATTTCTCATATTTTATTGAACATATATTTTTCTTTCTTTCTTTCCTTTTTTTTTTTTATTTTTATTTTGAGATGGAGTCTCTCTCTCTTACCCAGGATAGGGTGCAGTGATACAATCTCTCAGTTCACTGCAACTTCTGCCTCCTAGGTTCAGGCAAATCTCATGGCTCAGCCTCCCAAGCAGCTAGGACTACAGGCACACACCACCATGCCTGCCCATTTTGTTTTTTTGTTTGTTTGTTTGTTTTTTGAGTTGGAGTCTTACTCTGTCACCCAGGCTGGAGTGCAATGGAGTGATCTCAGGTGATTGCAACCTCTCCCTCCTGGGTTTAAGTGATTTTCCTGCCTCAGCCTCCTGAGTAGCTGGGACTACAGCTGTGCACTAGCATGCCTGGCTAATGCTTTTGTATTTGTAGCAGAGACAGGGTTTCACTGTGTTGGCCAGGCTGGTCTCGAACTCCTGACCTCATGATCTGCCCACCTCAGCCTCCCAAAGTGTTGGAATGACAGGTGTGAGCCACCACACCTGGCCTGTATTTTTTTTAGTAAAAACATGGTTTTGCTATTTTAGGCTGGTCCCAAACTCCTGGCCTCAAGTGATCCATCTGCCTTGGCTTCCTAAAGTGGTTGGATTACAGGCGTGAGTCACCATACCTGGCTAAATTGGTCATGTTCTTGAGTTATTTGCATATAGCGAGCCAGAGTTAGATGTCACATTTCCAGCAGCTTCCCCTCTCATTTTGGTGGTGGAGCAGTCAGACAGCATCTGTGCTTCATCCTGTCACTCATACGCATTGCACGTGCGTTCCTGGTGCCCTCTCTCTTCCTTCTGTGTTCTTCCTCCATGATTCTCTTTCTTTTTTTTCTTGTTTCTCATTTTCTCTTTGTCTTCTTGCTTTTCCAACCCCTTCAGCATGGCTGTCTTCCCTGTGAGTGAGGAAGGTGTGGAGCAGGACATCAAGCATGTTCATTTTCCTTCAGCTTGTTTCACTGAGTTAATGAGAGTCTGCCTTAGACAGAATGGCAGGATTGAAGTCAGTGATGGAGAAAACTGACTCTGTCTTGGTGCATAATATACTGTTGAATGAAAGGGTTGCTGTATGTTTAACTTCCTCATTTAAAAGCCTCCTCAAAACACTTCTCCTACTCAGGCTGTTCAGGCAGGTTCTCAGGCATTTGATGGGTGATGGCTGGGAAGTTCATTCAGGAGGTTAGTAGCAATTAGTTTCAAATTGATCAGAAAGAAACCAAGGAAGGTGGGGAACTACTGTATCTGCTGTATGCAAAGGATTGGGATGAGTGCTTCAGGAATGATGAAATCTAGGAGTCGAAAATATTCTTCTGTTAAAACGAATACCTTTCGTTTTTTTCCTGTATTTTTGGCTTCAGATCCAGTATCCCACA